CCAGAGGAATTGGAATATGAACAATGTTTTTCATTTTTTATAAGATTGTTAGATTTTTTAGTCCTTATTTAAAAGAAATATAAATAAACGGAGTTCTAAAAAAATATAAAAGATAAATGTATTGAGTATGGACAAATGTTTTATTTTACTTCGCATTTTATTTCCTTCAAATTTCTTTTATATTTTCTCCCTGTTTTCTTTCCCTAGCATTTTCTGGTTCCTAATTGATAGGGATGTCCAGATTCACAGAAATATTACAGAAAAGATGAACAGAATTTAAAGGAACAATTCAAGAAACTATATTGAAGAAGAACCAGAATCAATGACCGAAGCCCCCAATGGCCGAAGCCCCCAAAGAAAGAGATTATTAGTCTCTAACTTCCCAGTACAAGACAAAATGTCTAAACAGCCTGCTCCCAATTTCTAACTGTAGTCTATTTATAGTAAGGAAGGCTAGCCCCCGGTAGTTATTAGCTCATAACAAACTAGACTAATAACAGACCCTATTTCTTTCTAAAATACACTTTATTAGAGTATTTATCTTCTTTTCTTCAGTTTAGTAAAGTCTCTATCACTAATAGACCCTAAAGGCCTAATCGAATAAGCGCAATTTCCTTGTAAGGCATGTATCTTACATTTTTCATTTGAGGGCCTATGAGAAAATTTAGTGGTTTAGTTATACGTGGACATAAGGGACACTTAAAGTTATACTTATCCTATACACCGAAAATCTCTTTTTTACCCTGAAAGATTCACATCACGGAATCTAATGTTCAAAATGAAAAGCAAGATGATATAGAAACATGGCACATGAAAGTCATGGGGCTAATGTGAAAGTGAAACTAATTTTCTTGCTTATCATGGATTAGACTTCTTATCCTATGCCCATCTTTATAATGGATCAGTTTACAATGAATGACATTTACCCCTGCTTACCTGTGCGAAGAAACCCGTTTAAGCATTGAATATGGAGATCTAATATGCTTTTGCTCCTGTAAATAAAATATGAAAAAAACATAAAAGGCTTATCATATCTGGTAAATTGATTATGATGTGCTTTTGGTCCAATTCTTATTCAGATATCTTGAGATGACCACAGTAAATGAAACAAATGGCTGGTATGGTGGTACGTTGCTTGGTGATCAAGACGAAACCAGTGAAATCTACAGACATTATGCTGAACTTATTCAAGTATGGACATTTGTTTTTAACATTTTTGGGGCATGCCATGCACATGCATATATATATATATATACACACACACACACACATATACACACATATATGTATATATACACACACATATATGTATATATATACACACATATATGTATATACACACATATGTGTATACATATATGTATACATACATATATATATCGGCCAAAGGGTTCACCCTTTTGCTTCATTTTGGGGGCATCCGGTGTACTCTTTTTCCCTCACTAGGATTTTTTCCCACTGGGTTTTTCCTAGTGAGGTTTTTAACGAGGCACCTCCCCATATGGACAAAAAGTGACAGCCCTCGGCCCCTAGAGGAGTCATTATGAGGCATTCACTACTCTACTCCTATCCATTTCACCACGCCCGCCTCAAAGAATGAAGAATTTCAAGAATGAGAAAGGAATCAAATTACTCTCTTTCGTTGATCCTGGTCAGCTCAAGAGAGTAGGGGGGCTCGTGATGGTACCATGGATCTTTAACATGTCCCAAGATTGAATTAAAGCAAAGCCCATCAACGGGATCAACCCTTCACAGGATTAATATTAATTAGCCGCTGGACCTAACTAGGGATCCAACCCACGAAAGGAACCCACAACCAGGTCAGGCTGGACAGCAGACCTCGAGCCTGGGCGGAGTTCTAGTGAGGCCAGGATATTCCTAGGGCTTACGTGGCAGGCTATCATTCCAGCATAGTTATCTAGCAACGAAAAAATGTGGACTTGAGGCAATCATTGCACAAGTGTCCCTTAAAATGAGAAGCTAGAAGTAATCTTAGCGCTTGGATTTGCATGTGATCTTGCAAAGCAGTAAACTTATGGATTTTGCTCCTCTCCGTTAACTGGAATGGTCCAGTAGGAGAGAGATAGAGAGAGGTGGGGAAATGGTGGGGTAGAGAAAAAGAAAATATTATGTTTAATTATTATTTTTAAGGAGAGAGATAGAGTGAAAAAGAAATGGAGAGAGTAAATGGAGAGGAGTATGACCCTAAACTTATAGACTGAATATAGTAACTTATAACCAATAAATCATAACTTATAAAGCTCTCCAATGTAATTACGAAAATGCCACCGCGTCCAAAGAAATTCAAATTTTCCAGACTAATTTTTTTGCGATGGCATTTTCGTAATTATTTTTTAGGTGCTATAAGTTATGATTTATTGGTTAAAAGTTCATATATTTGTTCTATAAGTTTGCCTTCGCAGTTTTCAGCCTAAGAGCACTTCTCACCTGATCCGCTCCATATATATATATAGAGAGAGAGTCATTCTCCTGTCCAACACTTTTCTGTCCGAACGCCGTCCGAACACCGTTGTTTGGGGCGGTTCCCGGCGGAATTTTTTGATGAAATTTTTTGAGCATGTTCCTCATCAAGTCTAGTTTATCCATACCAAATTTCAGCTCAAAATTCGATCAGGAAGGCAGTCAAATAATTCGTTGAAGTTAACTGCTCCAAATTATACATAGGAAAACGCAGTTAACTTCAACGAATTATTTGACTGCCTTCGCGATCGAATTTTGAGCTGAAATTTGGTATGGATAAACTAGACTTGATGAAGAACATGCTCAAAAAATTTCATCAATTAATTCCACCGGGAACCGCCCCAAACGGCGGTGTTCGGACGGCGTTCGGACCGGGAGGTGCTGGACCCTAGAATTTTCCTATATATATATAGAGTAGTGTTCTGGTCCAGAATTCTTGACCAGACCCGCTGTCCGGCCGATGGCTTTTGGCCAACTTCTCGGTGGAATTTTTTGATGAAACTTTTATGCGTTTTCTTCATCAAGTCTAGTTTATCCACACAAAAAATCAGCTAAAAAATCAATCCGGAGGTCGTCAAATGATTTTTTGAAGTTTACTGCGCTAAAAAATACATATAAAACGCAGTTAACTTCCGAAAATCATTTGACGACTTTCCGGAATGAGTTTTTAGCTGATTTTTTTGTGGATAAACTAGACTTGATGAAGAACATGCCATAAAAATTTCATCAAAAAAATCCACCGGGAAGGCGGCCAAACGCCGCCTTCCGGATGGCGGTTCTGGTTCGGACGTCTGGACCTGAACATTTGTGTGTATATATATATATATAAGACAATTCATGTCAAGCCGGCCTGACGGGAACCGCCGTCCGGCCGAGGGCATTTCGGGACCTTCCCGGTGATATTTTTTATGTAATTTTTTGTGCATGTTTTTCATCATGTCTAGTTCACTCATACCAAATTTCAGCTAAAAATGCAATCGGGAAGGCAGTCAAATATTTTTTTGAAGATAACTGCGTTTTATATATATATAAACAGCGCAGTCTTTTTCAATTACACGTGTGTGTGTGTTTTCATAAATAGTTATTTACTTATATGAAACATATTTGATGTTTTCATTGATGATTTGCTAATTATGTGGTATGCAAAAAAACAGGGTCCTGCAATGGAACCTTTTGGTAACGACTCAGAGAAAGAGAAATACTATGCCAACCTTTTATGTAGGGGTTCACTTGAGGCCATGGTGGATGATGCAGCTGTTGAAGCAGAGATGGAGGCTGCACTGAATGGGTATGGCAAGATCGGTGATGATCTTGGGATTTTCCCTGAGTCGTGTAAAGCTTTGGCCGGTGATCCAAGCCAGTTGACTAGATGGCTGATTGGAGAAGATAAGGTGCTGCCCAGTGCTTGAAGTTCATAGGAACTCCTACCTGTTGCTTAGTGCCAGTTCTTTTGCATAGTCATTTTTAAATTGGATACCTCCAGTTGAAACATGGATGACCTCTCCATTTAATGGGCTGGGGGGGGGGGGGGGGGGGGGTGCGTCTTCACCTGAGGTATTAGTAATTAGGCAGGTGTTGTTGCTGAAGAGCATGCCTGTCTGCTACTGGATAGAATAGCCATTGTATTGGACGTGTATAGCTGATGTGGTTGTCAGATATGAATTCCTTCATTTGTAAGTGTACATAGATAAGGAGTTTCATATAAATTTTTTGAATGGAGTAATCTGGTGAGACTATATACTAGTGTAAACTAACCGGGGTCTGGTCAGTCATTCCGATGAGTACGAGCCATGCTAAAGTAGTTAAATTGGACTCGGGACGGGACTAACAAGCCCCCATTATCAAGCAAAAAGGACCTAGGTCGACACACCTAAGGATTGTTAGTGAAAGTGAAAACCGAACTGTCAAACTGCAAGCATACAACCAGAATTACAAAATAACTAAAACCACACACAAAATAATGAATTGAATCGTGATTGTTTGGTTTCTTGTATTGTTTGATTCTCTAAAAAATTCTGCCATCACCGGCATTTGGAAGTTGTTCCACATAATATTTGAATATTTGTATGGCTTTGGAGCTGGATTTTGACCTTGAGCTGGATTTGAAGCCATAAAGTGTGCTAGAGTAGTACTTGCTCAGTTAGATTGGTGTCTGCTATATTAATAGTCACCCTGAGCATTTCACCTGTAAATTGGTCGTTTCTGATGCTAGAATAATTGATTATTCTTAAAAAGATAGGGAGTTTGGTTGGGTGATTATTGAATACAAGTAACATGAGTGTTTAATTGACATTTTAAAAGTAATAACGGTGTCAAATATTTATATCGGTTTTCTTTTTAGTCCGTCTCCAAACAGTTGTCATATTTCCATTTTAACAAAAACATGTGATCAATATCATTTTCACTTTTTACTAGTCCAATCGCAACCACAACTTTACCTTTTCAATCGCTTTATTAAGGTGTGTGTAAATACAAACATGACAATTAATTTGGATGATGGAAATCATTAGCTAGATTACCCAAACTCCAAAGCATCACTATCATGTAGAAACAAATCTGTACAATGGCACCAATATGACCAAGAAGAAAGCATAACCTGAAATATAGATCATATCTATGTCATGTGCCCCCATAGAGAAAAAGGGAAATTCAAAAGTTGTACGTGAACTAATTCAGAAACATCCAAAAACGTGGTGATTATATCCACATCAACTTTTGAATAATGGTTTTCAAAAGAACTTGTTGTGATCAGAAATGTAATAAACAGTTAGTGAGATGCATGCTTAAAGCCAAAGTGTAAAGCATCACATCCGCTATCTGGTTCTCTCCTCTTTCTAACTGCTTGCTGTGAAAATCTCATGTCAGTACTCTCCTTCCACCTTCCATTAACTAAAGACAGATCACCATGTGGGTGTTGGTCATGCTCACCCCCCAACCGATATGGTGGGGTCCCAAGATAGTTTTGAACTTCACCACCACCACCACCACTAAAGGCTTGAGGGGAAGGAGAGTAGCCACCGTACAGATCTCTGGTGACAAAGAATGAAGCATTTGGAGGTGTTGGATAACAATGAGAAGGCAAAACCTGCATTGCATAAGGTGAATAATATTGTGGCTGCACTGGAATAAGTAACCTATCCATCAGTCCCACAGGCCGAAGCAAAGCAGGTTGGCCCACCGTGAACGGTTGGTCAAAGAACTGCATTTGACTTCTTAATTCTCCCCTGTAAACAGATCCTTGAACATCAAGACGTTCTAAAGGACGTGTTTCGACTCCAGATGTTGTTTGGCATCTCTGCCACTGGATATGATCATCGCAAATACCGTCGAGTGGGGTATTAAGGTCAATACTGAACTTTTTGTCTTGCTTTGAGTTTGAGCCACCACTTCCATACTCATCAGAAGAATCTTCTTCCTGTGGGGTAAGATTGAGGTCAATGATAGTAGAATCGCCTCTTGAATCTTTGGAACTCTGGTAATCAATTTTTGCCACACAAGGGGTATTATTGTCAATGCCCTTGGGAAACGAAACGAGATGAAAAGCACTTGGCTCACCACTGCCCCTCCAACCTAAATCACCTCTGAATTTCCGTGTAGGCATAGGAGAGCTTAGAGGTACCCCTAACTTGGCCATCACTCGTATCACATCAGAAGAAGATACATTTAAATCAAATCTGTTGGTAAGTTCGCTCTCTTGGTTACAAGCAACTTGCTTATAAGGACTAGATGACTTGGCATCCACTGACCCTTCCTGGTAATGGTCAATTGGAGAACACACTGGACGGATAAAATATGAGTTAGAGCATGAAGATTCACTCTTTGCAGAAAATTCTTGTGCAGAAGATATCCCATCAGCTCTCATGGAATTTTCATTGAAGGTCACAGTTGAAGATATGTTATCATTGCTAATGGCAGATGCTGAGCTAGAATCCTGCCCAGCACAAGTGTATGGTCTAAGATTAGTAGTGCAATCTCTTTTTGCATTGCCATCTTTTGGACCCTTCTCAGTTAAAAAGGGATGACCTTCAAAAAAATTATGCATCTTCTAATGTTCAAGCTTACACCAGATGACAATATCCAGAACGGGGCAGACTGCAAATCCTATGCTTTTGCAAATTACCAACTATAGAATAAGGTCCATACAATCAATCTGCATTTATTTTCTTGTATTGAAGATTTAAAAGGAAACACCCCTAGATAGCTTTATCTTATTCCTGATAGATGAAAAAATACAAATTGATTAGGGCATATTACATAAATGGGAACCATCATTTCCTGGAATGGAAACTCATTCATTCCTAAAAAAGGAATTATTAAAAAAGTAAATACTCATATGACTGCTTTGTTGCGCTGAGTGTACTTTTGTCACTCGTATTCAGGGCATCATTTAGAAAAGTATGCATGTGGATGATCTCATTTTATCTTTTATTATCTTTTTTCTTTTATCTTTCTTATCTCCCTTTCCTTTAATCTATCTTTTTTAATCTTCATCTTATCTTTATCTTATCTTTTTATCTTTTTTTATCTTATCATTTTAGCTCTGATTTCATGTGTTGGTTCATGTAAACCGACCCCAAACTCTTTTGGGACTAAGGTTCAGATATTGTTATATTATGCAATTTTAGAACTTAATGAGTCACGCTCTTTAGAATAAAACAAGGATAGGCATTATTTGGGCACATGAAGAATGTTTTACTCCTATTTGGATATTTGCTATCAGTTCTTAATTATATACGGAGTATAACACTAGAGAAGCTATCAGTTCTTAACTATATACATAGTATAATACTAGAGATGCTATCAGTTCGTAATTATATACAGAGTACAACACCAGAGAAGCTATCAGTTCTTAATTATATACTCCGTATAACACTAGAGAAGCTGCCCACATAAATTTTACAGAACATTAAAACAAGTTGAAACAAAAAGACATTGCAAAGATAATATAATGTCTCAAGTTTAGCTTGATTAGTACATAGCCAACATGTAGTAGCAAACACTTCTGTCTCATTTAAGATGTCTCAACAGGTTGGCATCTGAAGTTATATTAGGATGCAAACATGAAACTAACACTATGTATGCATGAAACTAGCACTTTTAGAAGCATCCTTAGCAAAATCAGCATTTAACAAAGTTGCAGATTAAGATTCCATTTAAAGGTCGAAGAACCCAAGATGTTTATTGTCCATAAAATATTTAAAACAGAAGAGGATAAATGAAGAAAATGCCAGCTTAGTTTTACGTGACTCAAGAATGTAAGTTTTTAATGCAATCGCTTTACAGCAGTGTGGCTTGACTTGATTTGAAAAGGCAATATAGTTTCTTAAATTTCACAGGCAATATAATCTGAACTTAATTTTGGTTTGATTCTTACATGGCGAAAATGAAGCAGCAAATACTGTTAGGGTGCGATAAACTAAATCTTCTAAAGTGTACACTTTTAGAACCATCCTTGGCGAAAACAGCATTTAAATAAACTGAAGAAAATGTTTAAAAAGTGTACACTTTCATTGAAAGATTACCATAGCAAATTAAAAAACATCCAGAAAATGTTTAAAAAGAGCAGAAAATGACACCTTTGTTTTATATGAATCCAACCAATTTCATTTCCCATTTTTATAATGCCAAGTAACAGTAACATAGCAATCAAACTCTATCTGGTTGAAGCAATACAAAATACTAACAGATCTGATCTACGAATTCCATTAGGACAAAAGAAAAACAATATTCATAACTCATAAGCTTTTGTGGCATATGGGGTACCCAGTTTTCACAACATCATCAGAACAAACGCCCAATGACAGAAAAACAAGACCAAGTAGCTGCATCAAACAACCAAAATCAACAAAAGCAGCACCAAGAAGTGACAAACCATAACAGTGACTTCAACCCAGATTCAGAAACAACATAATGATGGAGTAAAGGTGAAAACAGCAGTGTAAAATCTAAAAGAAAACAAAATCAAGACACAAAGAAGCAAAAGGACCTGGGCTGAAATGCGAGAAAAGTAGCAAATCCGCAGTTGAAGAGTGCAGCTTGTGACGAAAGTTTTCGACTTTATCAAGAACGCAGAAGAGAAAGATATGGGAAAAGACAAAGAAAGCAAGAAAAGATTATCCTGCCGAGAGCTGGAAAGAAATGATTCCCACTCATTCGCTCCTTCAATCTGTATCTATATCTCTCTTCTCCTGCTATGATTAAAGTCCAACCGGCACAGACCAACCACGAAAAGAAGTAAGAAGCTGCATCAACGGCCCACACAGCATCTCTGCTTTTCCCTATCCCCCAAGGCCCGAACCGCATAACATGACTGTGACAGGAGTGATGTACATGGACTCCGTCATAAATGTGGCTTGTAAATGTGAGGGATCGCGACAAGTGACAACGGAGAGAGTGTGTCTCAGTGCCAGAGATACAGATGGGAATGGGACCCGCCGCACGGAAAACTGCCGGCCGGATATCCTAGATGTTACCTCGCTTTGTTTACACAGCTTGAATGGGTTTAATGCAAAATCCCCTATGTTTTAATTAAGAGATATTTACTAATATATGACTACTACTTTTCTACATCCCAAAATATGATTAAATATTAGTTTTATACATACGAAACACTATCATATTGGGAAGAAAAAAGATAGAAGTCATATTTTGGAAAACACATTAAATTTTAGTCATATGTGGGTTAATTTTCTCTTTAATTAAACTTTGTGATTTAAAAAATATGCCAAATCCCTACGTTTTAATTAATTATGCACAGAACCCCTTTTATGAATAAATTCATTTATCAAATAAAAAAATGATTTAGAGATTTTGACATATTTACTTGAATATTCAATCAGAATATTAAGAAAAGTGGTTTCCAAATCGTTAAATTTATTCATAAAAAGGGTTTTGTGCATGATTAATTAAAACACAAGGGGGTTTGGCGCATTTTTTAAATCACAGGGGGCTAATGCGCCGAATTTCCATATCACATGGGGGTTTGGTGCACTAAACCCCAGCTGGAATACTTCATCGGTCCAACTTGTCAAAGTTTTAAGGGACGGAGGGAGTACTCATGATGACACCTCATCTCTGAGGCCCCCCAACCCCGACCGGACGGTACGTTGGGAGGATGTAAATTGGACTATATTCCCAATCTGACAGATAAAGAGTGGAGCTATGTCCTTGGTACTTGTAGAGGCCCTATGCATTTTTAGCATAGTAACCCCTCATCGCAGTTGCCGGGATTCGAACCTGGGACCTAATCCTTGTGTCACTCCCTTGCTACCAGTTGAACTACGTCCACCGGTACAAACTTCAATGTAGAAGTAGCTTTTTTTTTCAATTTGGTTGGAACAATGAAGATATAAATATGGGTAAATTCCGGTTCAGTTCTGACCTAAACTAATTGTTATCACGGGTGCAAAAACGTCATTTCGAGGCGCTTTTTTTTACACGTGCGGCGCTTTATGGTGCCTCTAATGAATAGTGCCGCAACGTGTTTTTAGAGACGCTTCTCTGCAAAAAGCGCCTCCAATTTTTTTTCATATTTTTTTTTCGCTTTGCGTGTGGCGCTTCTTTCTTAAAAAGCGCCTCTAAATTTGAAAATCCTTGTGACGCGTGCGACGCTTATTTGATCACAAGCGCCTCTGAATTTGAAAATCTTTGTGACGCGTGCGGCGCTTATTTGATCAAAAGCGCCTCTGAATTTGAAAATCTTTTAGAGACGCTTTATAGGTTGAAGCGCCTCTGAAATTTTATTTAATTAAAAGTATTTGTATTAAAAATTTAGCTAGATTCCATGTTTATAATACGTAAAAATACATAATAACTCCATACAATCAAACATATCCGATAAAAACAGTACCATATCATCTATAAAAACGCATAATGCACAATCAAATACGTGTTTAATTAAACATCCAATCAACATTCATACATTACAAATTGTTTGGCTAAGTAGTTTTTTCTCAACTTTGCAATACAACATCCAGAAAGTATCTTGACCATACATTTTTTATATCATTGAACTCTGCTAATGTGTATGGTTCACTTCTTGAACGCCATACCTGAAATAATGTATTTGAAATGATCACAAATATATTTCAATTTAATTACAATACCTATATAATGTATTTGAAATGATCACAAATATATTTCAATTTAATTACAATATATATATATATATATATAATAAATAACTTTGCAAACTCACAATTTATTCATACCTTTCCAATATCATGATTTTCAGAGTATGATATTATTTCCCACATGTATCTCATGACATAATATCCACATTCAGTACTTCCAGTTTGTTGTGCAACCTATATAGTTCACATCACACGTATAAGAATCAAAATTCCATTTCAAGATTACTTTCCTAAGATTAATTGTAGGATAGAAAGGATGTAACATACCTTCACACTATTCCATTTAATTGGCTTACCGCTGGCTTTTTGTGCAGATGCAACCCTGTACATTCTACAAATTCAAACAAACATTATGTTTACATATATACTAATATTAAAACATATTAATATGTAAATTAAGTTTATTCAAACAAATATATAATACTAACGTTGTTAAGTCTCTTTGAATACTAATGCTAGAAGAACTCGACATGGAATCAAAAATATATCCCTTATCGATCATAGGGCAAATGACAAGCAGAATCCAATGATACCTATATTGTATAAAATAACACAATAAATAAATAACGTATCACAAGAATTATTTCAATGGAAATATATTGTATATGTTGTACCCTTCATGGTATGGAAGGAAAATGAATGACTTTTCAAAGGACTCTATCAAAGCATGTTTCAAGTAAGTCATTGTGCCCTTTTTGTCCAATTCATAATGTTCAAAAGAGCACAGGTGAGGGCACAAAAAGCCAATGTCGTCACGGCCAAGCTCAACTAACTTTTCTTTTAAACAACTGCACATACATAAATACTATCACACTTCGAGCACCTAAAAACATTTACTTAATTTAAAAGTAATGTATATTGAATACTTACAGCAAGAAAGTCTGAATGATACAAATCTCAAGTGAGTCCCTCTCAAGAAATCGAGACAACTCATCACGATCAATTGTAGCCCCAAACGGACGATTTTCCCGAAAACAGAACACATCTGTAGAAACATGGACAGAGAACTTACAATTTTCAAGTTCAAACCACTGCATTGCCTCGTGCAACTCCAAAACATCATCTGTAAGAGTATCAAGTATGCTCTCACTGACTAACGGGCATATAGAAGGTGCAACCGTTACTTTTGGAGGATCTCTCTCAACAAATGGTGTTTGCTTCTTTCTTCTTCATCTCTTTCTTTTTGTGTTGAAATTGTGGTTCCTAAAAAAAATTCAACAACAAACACGATACACATATATAAATATATACATAAATTACACTTAATAAGGTAGTATAAGGTTACTACTATTTAGTTACCTCCCCCTCAAAAATCACCAACCGAGCTGGCCACTGAACAAAGGAACCCACAACATCCGCTATAACATACATATCAGCCGATTCATTTGGAAACAACAAGGGACACTGATCAAAACCTGGACATGGCATTGATATGTTCACTTTAATTGTTTTATTAGGCATCGATACGTTATGAATCAAAGCACCAACTGGTGTGTTGTAAGCTACGGCTACGACCACATAATTCAAGCTCATATCACCATTAACAGTTTGTGACTCAACAGCCAGCCTACAATTTGCACCATCCTGCATGAATTTCCACATGCAATTAAAGATTTACATTGCATAAAAGACTTAATATCATATACTCCCTCCGTCCCAAAATTAATTTCTCATTCACATAGTAAATTTATTTTATTCTTACTCACAATGAAAGATTTATGTGGAATATCAGCTGTGGAGTTCATTGTATCAACTTGGTCTGACTCAGAAGCTTGTGTTGATCTCGTGGTAGGGTGTTCACCTCTAGAAACAAAGTAGTGATGCATATCTTTCAACCATCTCTCTTGCAACTTTTTCAAATCATCCTCACTCAAATTACCCACTTTATCACGTCGTCCACCTCTACGCTCTGCTGCAAACACTCGAGTATAACCCACACCACCACAAATGCCACGTGCACGGTCAGGATAGTCAGGTTTCCCTACAACCTTAGTCAAAATATCATGTCGTCCAGTTGGCTTCCATGTCCCTGCAGCTATGTCATCTTGAATTTTGTCCTATTATATAGTTTATTTAAAGTGCATTAGCTTTAATTTAAGCGAATTTATAAAAGATATAAGAAATGTTTAACTTACCAATGTGCATTAGCATTACACAAGTTTTACCATGCAACGACCATATTCTATAATTTTCTCTAAAGCCTCTCTGAAGCAAGTGTTGAAGAACAACATTGGCATCATTTTCTTTTTTTAAATTATGACAGCTCGAACAAGGACATAAAATCCCTATATGGCCTTGTTGTTTTTGGTGTGCAAGAGCATGTTTTATAAACCCATTAACACTCGTGAAAAAATTAGAGGTGTTCCGAAGACCATACATCCAACTACGATCCATCTGAGTACATAATGTAGACTTAGTGAAAAAAAGTCTATTCTCACGCGTAGAGCAAAATTAATAGGGAAAACTGTCAAATAGGTCCTCGAACTTTCATAAAAAGGTCAATTAAGTCCTTCTATAGGATATTCTGTCCGGCCGTTTCGATTTGGGGCAGTTCCCGCTAGAATTTTTTGATGCAATTTTTTGAACATCTTATTCACCAAGTCTAGTTTACTCATACCAAATTGCAGATAAAAATTCAATCGAGAACACATTCAAATTAATTCTTGAAGATAACTGCGCATTTTTGCGTTCTCGAATTAATTTGAATGCGCTCCCGATTAAATTTTTAGCTGAAATTTGGTACGGGTAAACTAGACTTGATGAATAAGATGCTCAAAAAATGTCATCAAAAAATTCCACCGAGAACCGCCTCAAATCGCGACGACCGGACAGAGTCTCCTATAGAAGGACTTAATTGACTTTTTTATGAAAGTTCGATGACCTATTTGACAGTTTTCCCAAATTAATACGACCGAGTGGGAAAAACTCTACCTAATTAAGAAAATGTTATTCTCATCCACCATTGCATTCACATTCAGTTTTCATGTGAATCCGGCTTAATATGTCCACAAATTCCAGTAAGGTAAAAGTTTAAAGTAATTATAAATGATAAAATAGGTAGAATTTGACATGATACAAAATACAAGAAAATAGATTATTATCAATGATAAAAAAATCGGGTAGTCAGTCAAGTGCTTATTTTGTCACGCCCCGGACCTACCCGGACACGTCAACAACCCGCCGTACAGTACGAATAGTCAACCGCAGTCCGACTCATCC